TTAGGGATAGGCTGGAGAGTATGGAACTCTGTCTGGGGACAGGTGAGCAGTCCACAGAGTTCGTGGGTCAGGGTTAAAGGGAATATAGCTATGGGAGACATTACTGTGGGGATCTGTTACAGACTGCCTGATCAAGGAGAAACTGCAGATGAAGCAGTCCATAGACAGATGGGAAAAGCCTCATGCTCGCAGGCCCTTGTTCCCATGTGTGACTTCAACCACCCTAACATTTGTTGGAAGGACGGTACGGCCTGGCACAAGCAATCCAGGAGGTTCCTCGATTGTGTAGAAGACAACTTCCTTCTGCAAGTAATAGAGGAGCCGACAAGGAGAGGTGCCATGCTTGACCTCGTGCTCACCAACAGGGAAGGGCTCGTTGGAAATGTGACGCTCCAGGGCAGCCTTGGATGCAGCGATCATGAGATGGTCGAATTTGAGATCCTCAGGACAGTGAGAAGAGTGTGCACCAAGCTCACTGCCCTGGACTTCAAAAGTGCAGACTTTGGCCTCTTCAGGAACCTGCTTTGGAAGGTTCCATGGGATACAGCCCTAGAGGGCAGGGGGGCCCAAGACTGTTGGTTGATATTCGAGGATCACCTGCTGTAAGCTCAGGAGTGTTGCATCCCAACCAGAAGGAAGTGCAGCAGGAGGGCCAGGAGACCTCCTTGGATGGATAAGGAGCTCCTGAGGAAAATTCAATTGAAAAAAGAGGCTTACAATAAGTGGAAGCAAGGACAGGTGCCATGGGAAGAGTACAGGGATGTTGTCTGAGAAGCTAGGGACCAGGTTAGGAAAGCTAAGGCTCAGTTAGAATTAAATTTAGCTAGAGGTATTAAAGATAACAGGAAGGGATTCTACAGGTACATAGCAAATAAAAAACAGACTAGGGAGAATGTAGGCCCCCTCAGGAAGCTCTCGGGAGAACTGGATACACAGGATTTGGAGAAGGCTGAGGTTCTGAATTACTTCTTTGCCTCAGTCTTCACTGGCAAAGGCTTTGACCACACCACCCAAGTCTTGGAAGGCAGATGCAGGGACTGTGAGAATGAAGACCTTGCGCCCACTGTAGGAGAGGAACTGGTTTGAGACCATCTTAAAAATCTGAACGTGCACAAGTCCATGGGTCCTGATGAGATCCATCCATGGGTCCTAAAGGAGCTGGTGAATGAAGTTGCGAAGCTGCTGGCCATCATATTTGAGAAATGACGGCAGTCAGGTGAAGTTCCCAATGACTGGAAAAAGGGAAATATAACCCCCATTTTCAAGAAGGGGAGAACGGATGACCTGGGGAATTACAGACCAGTCAGTCTCACCTCTGCGCCTGACAAAATCCTGGAGCAGATTCTCCTGGAAGGCATGCTAAGGCACATGAAAATCAACAAGGTGCTTGGTGACAGCCAGCATGGCTTCACTAAGGGGAAATCCTGCCTGGCCAATCTGGTGGCCTTCTATGATGGGGCTGTGGAACTGATGGACAGGGGTAGAGCAGTTGATGTCATCTACCTGGACTTGTGCAAAGCTTTCGACACTGTCCCACACACCATCCTTGTCTTGGAGTGACATCATTTTGATGGATGGACCACTCGGTGGATAAAGAACTGGCTGGATGGCCGCATGCAAAGAGTTGTGGTCAATGGCTCAGTGTCCGGCTGGAGTAACGAGTGGCGTCCCTCAGGGATTGGTGTTGGAACCGGTCTTGTTCAACATCTTTGTCACTGAAATGGACAGTGGGATTGAGTGCGCCCTCAGCAAGTTTGCCAATGACACCAAGCTGTGTGGTTCGGTTGATACGCTGGAGGGAAGGAATGCCATCCAGAGGGACCTTGACATTCTTGTGAGGTGGGCTGATGCCAACCTCATGAGGTTTAACCGTGCCAAGTGCAAGGTCCTACACCTGGGTCGCAGCAATCCCAGGCACAGCTACAGGTTGGGCAGAGAAGAGATTCAAAGCAGCCCTGCGGAGAAGGACTTGGGGGTGTTGGTTGATGAGAAAATGAACATGAGCTGGCAGTGTGCGCTCCCAGCCCAGAAAGCCAACCGTATCCTGGGCTGCATCAAAAGCAGCGTGACCAGCAGGTCGAAGGAGGTGATCCTGCCCCTCTACTCTGCTCTTGTGAGACCTCACTTGGAGTATTGTGTGCAGTTCTGGTGTCCTCAACATAAAAAGGACATGGAACTGTTGGAACAAGTCCAGAGGAGGGCCATGAGGATGATCAGGGGACTGGAGCACCTCCTGCATGAAGATAGGCTGAGAAAGTTGGGGCTGTTCAGCCTGGAGAAGAGAAGGCTTCATGAAGACCTCATAGCAGCCTTCCAGTATCTGAAGGGGGCCTATAGGGATGCTGGAGAGGGACTCTTCATTAGAGACTGTAGTGACAGGACAAGGAGTAACGGGTTAAAACTTAAACAGGGGATGTTTAGGTTGGATATAAGAAGGAAATTCTTTCCTGTGAGGGTGGTGAGGCACTGGAATGAGTTGCCCAGGGAGGCTGTGAATGCTCCATCCCTGGCAGTGTTCAAGGCCAGGTTGCACGAGGCCTTGGGTGATAGGTGGGGCGTAAGGTGTCCCTGCCCATGGCAGGGGGTTTGGAACTACATGATCTTAAGGTCCTTTCCAACCCTAACGATTCTATGATTCTATGTTTAGCTTATTTGAATTCAATGAGTGTTAGAAAGTTAATTTTTAAAGCAGCTGTTAGCCTGACTCTTGTACACTATCTCACATTCTTAGGCAAGTGAATGTTACTGGCCAATTCTGAGCATTAAGAAAGTTTACTTAACTAACCAAGTTGTGAATTCCACTCAGCTCAGCCTGCAGAAATTATAAAATGGGAATTTATATAGCTTAAGTAGGAAATCATACTGTATGGATTTTTTTTTTTTTTTGACTCCTAGGAGAAAAAGTCCTATTTTTCTAACATTGAGAGAATATGGAAATATTATTCCCTGGGATATTTTATCCGGTAGTAATTTCCACAGTGCTCTATTATAGTTTGTCACTCTGATTTTCATGATGTTCGTTGTCATGAATCAGGTGTTCAACTAAAATCCATTAGAATTACATGGATATAAGTCTGTGAGAGGTAAATTAGGCCCACTGATTCTTATCATTAACTCAAGAACCCATTTAATTATGGGATTTGGGAAGTCTGTAATTATCTTTTAAATGGAAAATTTACTGATTAAGAAATTAGTGTCATAGTGTCATGCATGTATGAAATTTTACTGACACCTAACAGCTGGTTCTCTGATAGTGGCCTCCATCAGCCAAGAGGAATGTCACTGACACATAAAAGGCAATTTATTTTTCCCTCAGGGGCCTCTAGGCCTTTGTAATTGCTGGGGAAAACTTCCATTTGGACAGGATTTGTGTGATGTACTTTCTTTTACTGACTTGAGGAATGAACTTTTTAAGGAATGAACTCAAATAAATTTGGATTTCTATAAAAACATTTCCTCTTTAATTAATTCTTAATTTCATTTTAATTTGCTGCTTTTCTCTATACATGCTTTTCCTCTACTGAAATAGCAAAGACTGAGAGAACTTTAACTGAAACAGATGTTTGGAACAAAGTATATACAAACAGTTCTCATTCCCTACCATTGATGATGTTTTCTTCTTTTGACAATGGTATTTATTTATTTTTAAACTAAAGGCTGAGGACACGGTTTTCTAAATACAAGAATGCACACTGTGTGTACTGATCAGCAAATTATTTCAGACTTTTCCATGAAATGCAGTGTGTTTTAGAAGTGGAAAATCCTTAAAAAATCCAGATTGTAGGTTTAGTTTACTTTGACAGTAATATGGCTATGGAATTCTGCTGCTAGAAGCCCTGATATTTTCCATCTTGGCCCTGGTCAGTAATACTGTGCAAATAATGTTTTCTTTTGGCATTTATTCTGTTTTGGGTGTGTGCGGTCTTTGCTGGAAAATTCAAGCAAGCAAAGAATGTATACTAAATGAACTGCATTCAAAGGATCAGCACAGCTGAGATGATTCAGTTGGTTGAAAGTTGATTCAGAAAGATTTTAGATTTTGCATATAATGAAGCCAAATGATTCCAAATGCAGAATGAGGATTCTGTTTGCATGCAGCTGTTCATTAACAAAAAAAAAAAGAAAAAGAAAAAAGGCTTTCCAAGAATGTGTAAGCCTGTGCCATCTATCACACCATCACAAAAGGAACCGACTTCAGGGGCCGCTGAAAGAAAAAGCACAATATAACATGGAATACAAATAGCTATTAGCCTTGCAAGGCACACATGTAGCAGACAATATTAAGTAAACCCAAGATACTGCTTTGTACCGAATGCTGAAGTATAGAAGTTGTTTTAGCATTTAATTGCCACGTGCCGTATTCCCCACTGTGATTTTAACACACCTATTTCTGGCACGATGGGTGCATATTAAGTAATTTAAAGGGGAGGGGGGAGAGGGCTACACATCCTTTGTTGTCATCCTTACATAGCCTGCGACCCACGCACAGAAAGCTTGTGCTTTTACTTCCAAGCTTTAGACCCACGCTGTAGGAAGCTTGCAATTTAGTGAGCCCCACGCAGGAGCAAGAAAACACTTCGCAAACCAAAACTGTCAGAATTAGCCTTGTAGCCAGCAAGGCTGGATTTGCGAGGCAGCAGAAGGCTGCGCTCTAAAACAACTCAGGTACTGCCTGATCAGCCCTTTGCATCAGAACGACAGCAAATTACAGGCGTCTCGATAATGCAGTTCCTTTGTGTGAAAAGAAAGCCCCCCGCCCCTCTGTTTGCAGGAGCGAGCAGCGCTGTGGAGAGGGGTGTGCCCACCGGTACCCCCTCCGCCGCGGCAGTCCTGTCCCGCCGCAGGTGCGTGCCCCCGGTGGGCCGGACGGGGTGCAAGCCCGTGGCTCTGGGGGGGGCGTGAAGAAGGCGTTTCTTTCTGACCGGGGACACCGGCGGCGCTCGGAGCGGCCGGGACTGTGAACAGAAGGAGGGGCAGGCAGCGGTAACGTCACTTTCCCCGGCCGCGTGTTACGTGGGATGAAGATGGCGGCGCCGATGGCCGCGCCACGGCAGCTGTCGTCGCTGTGAGGCGGGACGGGACAGCGCAGCGAGAGTGTGCGCCCCGGCTGAGGGGAGGAGGCGGGGTGGGCCCCGCCTGCCGTCGCCGGTAACATTCTGCTCTCCCGCACAGGCGCTATGGAGGACGAGGAGAGGCTGAAGAAGCTGGAGGCTGGGAAAGCCAAGGTACGAGAGGGCGGCGGCGCGGCTGCGGAGAGGCTGGGGAGGACGGTCAGCCAGCCAGCTACAGCCAGCAGGGCCGGGCGGCGGCGTATGGCTGCGGCGGGGGCTCGGCGCGGGGCTGCGCTGCGAACAAAGCCGCGGGCGGAAGAGGCAGTGAGTGCCATCCTCCCTGCGCTCCCCCCGCCGGCCTCGGGGCGAGCGACGTTTAGCGGCAGGGGTGCGGGAGCCGGTGACAGCGGGCCACCAGTGTGCATGCTACAGGTGCCCGTCGCAGGGCCCGGCGGTGGCAGCCTGGGCAGGGCCCGCTCCGCTGGTGGTGCCTGCTGGAGAAAGAGCCGAGGAGGAGGAGAGCTAACCTCCCTACTGCTTCACGCCCGGTGCACGGATTACCTTTTGCCTCTTAAGCCTGGGAAACTCCCTGTAAATCTTTAAGGAAATTGATAAAACCGACAGCTGTTCTCAGTGTGGTACTAATACCGGGAGAGAGCCTTAGGAGACACAGGATTATAGATGTGGTGAAGTGTGTTTGCCTGTTGTCTGAAAATGCTGGATAGCAACGTGGATCACCCGCAGGACTCCACCGCCACCTCAGGGGCGATGGGGCGGCTCAGCCAGTACCCGGCGGGCTTCCCCCACCGTTAATAGGGGAGTTTATAACTTTACTTCTTAAGTATGGCTCAGTGCACACTGGCTACAAAGCACTTTACCTTCTGGGCAACAGACTGGAGTTCCCGTACTTGTAGGAGGACCTCTACTTCAAAGAAAGCTTCGGTGTAGTCAATGAGTTAATTAGGGGCATTTGTAGGAAAATGAGGTAAAATTATGTTTTGACATGAGGTATAGTCTGGTTCCTTCCAGCAGTCTAAATGATTAGAAGGTTGGTCCATCAGTCATTCATGCTGAAGATAAACATGTAACTCATCTGGAGCTGATAGTACAGGCAACAAGAAGACAAGCTAAAGAAGAAACTACAAAACATCATAATTGCCTTGTTTATGTGGTCTGTGGAAATGGTAGTGTAGTGTGGCTGAGAAATATTGAACAGGTATTTTGCTGTATTAGACAAAAACTTTGTAACTTAGTGTTTCCTTTTCCTTTGAAAAAGTGCTCAAAACATACCTTGGGAAACTCTCCTAGACAGAGCTGCATGTTCACATAGGAAAACCTGTTCTGAAATGCTTAGAGCCAGAATGGTGTTTACACAGCGTTATGCAGCACTATTATATACTGCACTATTAAAAGGCACTGGGACGGATCAGGAACTGGTGTTAGTATAGTCTGTCACACCCGGGTTGGCTAATTCTTTTGCAAATAATTAGTAATTCCCAAAGAAAATGGTTGAAGTAAATCTGCCAGTATGATAAACCACAGAGAAGAATTTATCGAGTGAGTTTATATGTTTTTGTCCATGTAGGCATGGAAGTAACACAGAAAATAACAGTTACTGAAAGAGAGGCACTGAAACAGGTTGCCCAAAGAAGTGGTAAATGCTCCATCCCTGGGAGTGTTCAAGGCCAGGCTGGTCAGAGCCTTGGGCGACATAGTCTAGGGTGGGATTGGAACTAGATGATTTTATGGTGCTTTCCAACCCTAACTATTCTGTGATTCTATGAAAAGCCAGTACTCTAGCAGGAATTCAGTGGCACCCTTTTTACTTAGAGAAAAGATGGCTACACACTTTACTAACTTCTTTTGCATTTTAAGAGCACTGTCGTAACTCTCAGCCTTCTAGTAGTCATTTCTGACGAAAATTTAATGATGTTCTTGTAAGTAAGTATTTCCCTGAAGGCTTTCATATTCTATGCTTTTAAACATCCCTTGTGATTTAAGTCATAATAACTCTTTAAAGCTCTATGTACTTTACATGGGAAGGGACTGTAGAAACTGTCAGTTTTTCAGATTTGTCATCAGTGTTCTGTAGACTGTTTGCCCCTTTTTTCACATGAGTGATGTAATTAAATGTGTTGTACTGTGGAGACTAGGTCACAGACAGGAAAGAAGAAACTCTGTTAGCAGAGAATAGAAGCGGGAGTTGCTCTTACAGCTGCTTTTCTTTTTCAAGGATACAGACACATTCACAGTAGCATAATCACTATGTCTCCTAAAACTGGTTGGCTCCAAATGAGTATTTTCTGCAAACCACAGTAACAGGCGTCCAAAAAAATTTTGAACCTAACCACTGAGTGTTGTTTAAATAAAATAGCTGGGAAAGTGTATTAAAGTCCATGTTCTTACTGTGCTAAATGCACAGATATTGCTATATTGCAGATACCTTGATCATCCACCTGAAATTATACATTTTAAATATAAATAAGATACAACATAAACTGCAGGATGAAAGTAGCTAATTGGGAGACTGGTAAATGAGTGTAGTAGGTGCCATGGAGGTGGCTGGTACGTTGCTAACAGTGGAGTTATTATTCAAAATTGGCACTTAGGTTCTTGCTTGGGTTGGTTTGTTGAGTTTTCTTTAATCAAAAAGTAGATAGCTAACTACTACCAAATCTCAGTGTGGGAGTTTTAAGCAATATGAACTTTCTGTAAAGCAATCCTTTGGTTGTTTTCTGATCATAAAGTTGACTAAGCAAGCTGTGGAATTTGGATTTCTGAGAATTTATCTGCAATGGAAATTCTTCTTGATGTCTTATTAAGACGCTGTCTCCCTACATAGATTTTTTTACAGAGAAGTTTATTACAAATGGATTTTTCTGCAATGGAAATTTCTTTTGAGTCCTCCTTTACTGTTACTGGGAATGAAAAGCTGCATTGTGAATCTGTCAACTGAAAGGTGCTAAGTATACTCAAGCCTGGCAGAATGGGTCTCACTGCAAACATACAGCTTTCACCCGAGCATCATTTGAAAAATGAAATGAAAAGCTCCTTATAGAGGCTCACCAACATTCATGTGTACCTGCTGACTTTTGGAGACTATGCCAAGTCTGTTATGAAGCAGTTGCGCCATATGTTGCTGTTCTGTTGGTTTCAAACCCACGAAGTCAAGAGAGGCACAAAGTTCAACCATGTAAATTATATGCTCCTTTTTCCAGACCTATAATAATTTATTTTCCTTTGTCACAAGGTAGATGTGCTAGATATTAACCCAGCTTCTATAAGCATCTGTCTTGCCCATTGTAATGGTCTCTCTGTGCCTTTATAGAACTCTCCTCCCCAGACAAGCAATTTCTTCATCTTGGATCCTGATCTCATTACGGTGGAGCAAGAAAAATGTTTGTCAGAAAGGTTAGTTAAGGGAGATGTGGTTGACTGTGATGGAAGTGGAAGGAAGATGTGTGCCAGCAGTGGAAATGTAGATGCTTATTTTTAAGTTGATCAGTGCCCCAAAACACAGTGAACTTCAAAAATTTAAACAGGGGAGATTTAGTTTAGATAAAAGGAAGACATTATTTACTGTGAGTGGTGAGGCACTGGAACAGGCTGTCTGAAGGAGTGGTAAATGCTCCATCCCTGGCAGTGTTCAAGGCCAGGCTGGACGGGGCTTTGAGCAACCTGGTTTAGTGAAAGGTATTGCTCTCCATGGCAAGGGGGTTGGAACTAAATGATCTTAAGGTCCTTACCAGCCCTCACCATTCAGTGATTCTGTATGTTTTGTGCCTTGCTTAAGAGATTCCAGAATATTGTTGATGGCCTGAGATATAGCATAGGTATATCTGGTCTAACAAAAGACTGCAGAGGATGGTGGTTAAAGATGTTGGTGCAGTATTGATGGGCACATCTGCTATGCGTGCTTGCCTGTGTGCATCAGTTTGCTTGGAAATCTCATCTAACATTATAGCATATTTTAGTTGTGGTAGTTGGGTATGGTAGTTGGGTATTTTAATTTAATGTATTTATTTAGCAGCTGGCTTGTCTTATCAGGAGGTTGCAGTGTTTTGATGAACTTTCAAAACTATACACAGTATTTTGCTAGCTTCAGAATAAGAACATCAGGGGCTCAGATTTCCGTGTGAGAAAATGCCTGAGTGTATTTTGGTAAAACTTAACATTTAAAAAAATACTTTGATTTAATTTATACACACACATGAAATGCACAGCTATTATAACTGGTAAAATTAAGAGATACAAAAATAGCAGTAGCAACTCTTACAAAATAGTTCATTTTACAGTACTGAAATTTTATTTACAACGTATTTAAATATGTGTATTGATCCAGTTTATATTTGTGTTGAGGAAAGGGCACTCTCCTTAGCTGTGTGCTTTTTTTGGTGTGTGAACATTGAATGAAGGAAAGACACTAACTTAATTTGTAAATTCTCTTGGGTTGGTCTGGCATTTGAGGTCTAATGTTAAAAGTACAAAATTTAATGTCCTGATTTTCAAAGGTTCTGTGTATGCTTGTAGTACATTCTTGTTGCGGTATTTGAAGAAATCATATAATTGTTGAAGAACTTTAAGAAATTAGTGAACTGGTTTAGTTAAATGCTTGAGTACAGAATAAAAAGTGTTACTGCTTTTGATCCCTGGCGTACCAGGGAATTGCTGAGCAGATGGAACAGTGGCGCCGGTTTGGGAAGTTCTAATGGCACTCAGTGGACACGTGTTACAGGTTGAATAACTGATTTGACAAGTTATCTTCACAAATTGCATAGTAAAAAGGAATAATTGCATATTTTGTCTTCTGGTCGTGCATGAAAATGTTTCTGGTGGCTGAAGATGAAAATTATGTATTATTAAAATAGCATTGTCTAAGAGTCTGAGAATGTTTGCTCTTTGCATTCTTGCATCTTCCTTTGAGGGGAGAAAAAGTTTTTACTTCCTTACATCTGACCTCTTCAGACTTAGAGATTTTGGATTTCTCAAAGAAAGCTGTTGATCAGGTTTTTTGGAATAAGACTTAAGCAAAGCATGTTATAGTTATGTGCCACAGTGATTAAAACACTAATTTAAAACCCCGGAAGAATTTAACATGCGGATTGTGTTTGTAAAACACAGTCTTTTTAAATTCCCTGTAATTTACCTCAGGAAGGAAAAAAAAAAAGTAGTAT